ACTAAGAGCGCCGCTTCAGTACTACACTTCAATTGATTGATTGCGTACAAAATAATAAAACGGGTTGTTCGGCTAATAGATGATAAGTTACCTTTGACAAATTCACTTTGAAACTATGGGGTCGTCGCTCCCAAATTTATATGCTGTAAATCCAAACTAAAAGTCGTAATCAGCGTCGTACTGAAACTAATCTGGGCAAAAAGGCAGTTATTGCAATTAATTTGTCTTGACAGGTGGGTGTGTGTAATACGCCGATCTGACAATCCTGTCCGTAAAGCTAGGGGCAAACGAACGTCTTTTCCCACAATTGACGTACGCTCTAAAACTAATTCGCTACGCGTGAACCTTCATTTTCTGGCGAAAATATTTGCCTGGCTTGATCAGATAAAAACATACGCTCGTCGGCCCCTTGCATTAAACTAATACCAAACTTGAACATTTCAGAGATAGTAATGTCTGCTAATATAAAACTATAAATCATTCGTAAATACTGAGGGATGTCGAAAAAATCGTACACATATACTGGAAAAACAACAATTTGCTAATCATTTATCTATTTGAGCTTTCGGATAGTAATGTGAATCGTAAACCAAAGTTCAAATGAAGATAATAAGCAATGTGGATTATCTAAAAGGCATTCCAAAATCAACATAGCTCAATACTTATTTTCAAAGTAAAATTACGTTAACTATGGTGGGAAGGACAATATCCAAATTATGTGGTATTAACTCTCACAGGAAACAATCACTCTACTCTTTCATTGCTAATTACATTGAGTCGCCCAAGGACTTTAATGGCTGCCCCACTCCGTATATAATTCCAATATACATGTATACTCTTACTAGACCGAAACATCTTTCTCTATTCCAGCCTATTACAGTTGTCAGTAGGTGTAAAGACAGGAAAACTAGGTCCTGTTTTGTGGAAATTTTTCGCACCTCCGAAAATACAGGATTTTTTTCAATCTACTTAAATCAGATCCCCCAAACCCATAAATATTCTTAAAGATTAATATCTTTGTAATACCATCAGTATCTCCCTACACTATGTCCTTTAAAGGCAACTGTCAAAATAGCTACTAAGGGGTGGAATAGAGGTAGATGTTTCGGACTAACTACTTACAAAATTATTCCAAGACGGTTTAGAACGGGAAGAGGAAACCTTGAGAAATATTGTATCCCATCTTCACAATTGCAAGTATATCCATGACATTAGTAGTTAACTGATTATTGCGTCCTACCTACTTAGCGATAAAATGTCAGTCGTCAATAACAAACACTTAAAATTTTCATCCCACTCAATAAGACCGAATAATGGTTATTATTGCCAGCCTGTGTTGTTGTCTGACCACTGAATACTGCCATTGTGCCAGTATCACCCTCGGCTAAATGTTCATCGAAAATCAAATCCGGAAGTCTTATGTTAACTTTAAAATTGTGTCTTCAATAGACGCTACAGTTTCTGTTTGTCTCGTGAACCATTTGAATTCTATATTGTTTTCCAAGTCTATTTTATTTTTACACATAGAAAGTATAGAAACGATACACAAATATCAAATAAAGGCGTGATCATAGTTAATGATGTGAAGAACTTTCGTTCAATCAAAGTTTTATTTTCTGAAAGAAAAAACCAGCCTTTTAAATCACCCAGGCCTCCAGAAAAGCTGAGGGCAAATCGGAGACACCGCCAGTAAGAAAGCACGCGAACGCCATACAGTAATCTGGATTTGTTTAAAGCTGATGATTACATTACGTTAAATGCTGATTGCACTTGCGATAATTGCTATGTCTTGAAATTGCTACCTCCACAATCATATGATGAGTGAAACAATTATGTTAATATTAGCGTTACCATCTGGCGGAACTGAATTTTAGCTAATTTTCAAAAGCCCTTATTAAAATCTAACACCCCTATGTAGACTATCGTCATTTCCAGTGCATTATCAACCTTCTGATGTGCGGTTATTACAGATATTATGACATCACAGATAATATTGACCAATCGTATTCCATATAAAAAAAAAGACAAGTAGTAACGATTCGAACCGCAAATCGAGGTCCGACATCCAAATTAGCAGTTTGACAATAACTTGCTAAGCAGCAAATGAACTATTCACATGAGGAAGTATATCAATTTTAAATGAGAAAGTATTTTATAATGAAAAGTGGTATCAGGTGTTTAGAAGAATAGCACGTGGTATATGATACATGATGAGCACAGGGAACGCCTGACGTTTGTTGTCAGTATCATTCAAACTTTCAGATGATAATAAATATACAATATCCAAAACTTGATTGACTTTCGTCATTACAATGCCCATTCCGGTTTCTAGAATAGCAAGCTCCGAACTCTCTGACGACAAAACCGTATCTTTAATGTTAGCAGTCTGTTAAAAGACCAGAACTGCCGTACCCAGACCTTACAATATGGACTAATCGCTGTTACTGGTCATATAATGCGTCTCAAGTGGTTTCAATAGGGCTTTATTATGTCTAATCACCGTCTAAACCGAGCCTAAACTATCTTTAAATAAAGTTACGAAACAATATTGTGTTATATAGTAAATACTGAGAGGGGAAGTTTGATCCAGGAGTCGTTGTTGATGTTGAGGTTTCATTAAGATCATCTTTTAAAACAGACAAGTTTCATTATGATCCATCTTCTAAAACAGACATTGGGACGTTGTTGACGTTTCATTATGATCCATCTTCTAAAACAGATATTGGGACGTTGTTTTATTATGATCCATCGTTTAACACAGACACTGGGACTTTGTAGAAGTTTCATCACGATCCATCTTATACAAGCGACATTGGGACTTTGATCGGTGTAAATTCGCCATCGGCCCACTATGAATAAGATTAAAGTTCTGTAAATTTCTCAGTCCAATTTTAAATTCTAGGGTAATGATCGATAGGGAAAGAAATTTGTAAGAAAAAGGAGAACATTTGTCAAACTGGAGACAGGAACAATTTGGGTTTATTCCAGTCGTTTCGTATTTCTGATAATATTTCAGATGATTTATTACACCATGTTTTTCTAATATCGAGTTTTTATAATGGCACACGATGTAATAAAACAGCCTCCGTCTGCTTGATTTTCTTAATAGTTTACGGGTTTTGCCTTGTTTCAACCTTTTATAAGTAGACATAATGCCCACCCCCTCTCTTCCCATATTCATGTGATACATCATAACTATATTTGATCAATTATAATTGTATCGAATTATGATTTATAATATAAATGATTTGATCAATTATGTTCCAGCACAATATTTTAAGAAAACTAATATAAACGTTCAAATTAATTTCGATCTTCAGAAATTGATTTTTTTCTGTTTTTTTAATAACTTTCTTGTAAATTTGAAATGAATTGAATAATGTCAATTCTTCATTCAAATAATCGAAAGACTTAAGCTGTTATTTTTGGATTATTCCCTTGGAGGTCTCTTAATTAGTATGCCCCTTTCATACAGTTTCTACTGTAATCATATTTCCGAAATCTAATTTTCATCCTTGTTTAAAAGGACATTTTTGCAAAACATTTTCATTATCAAAAACGTCGTAAATTATACCTAGAAATATTTCTAAAGCATGCTATTTATCTGTATGTCCCTACTTGATCAAACTGAATTTATTTTAAAAGGGTTAATTAAAAACTGAGAGTACTAATGGTTAATTAAGCAATTTGGCCTAGTTTCGGTGATTGGCTTTATAATGCCTCGTTCTATTCAGTTGAAATCTTCAGAAAACTTAAGAGAAATTTACTCAGATCCGTTCAGTTACAGCTTGCAAAAAGCAAAACGAACATTAAAAGGTTACTTAACCTTTTACGTAAAGTTTTGATGTTGAAAAATTAACGGCTGGATATTTTTAGTTAAAACTTTCAGATACGTTATGGGATACATTTCTATAGATTTTGGTTTAGAGTTTTCACAAATTTGAACAAAAAATTCTTTCGAACTACAAAAAAGAGGAATGTCCCTCTAAACATAAAATCTCATCTAATTAGAATATTTTGGCTTCTTTTTGAATATGAAAACATTTCAAATGCATTTTAATTATATACATTCGCATAAGAACCCCCGTTGGGATGTGTCTGTTTTAAAACCAGATTACATTAATCAAGATGAAATTATTAATATTGTTAATAACAATGGGAATGTTTGGTTAATTAACTGATTTTCCCTCGAGAATAATTACTCCTATATTGGTGTAACACAAAAATCAAAAGTTGTAATTTCTGTTATGAATTCGTCCTTTTCTTTTCATTGACTTTTAATAATTTTGTAAGAATGAATTGATAAAAAAAATTGCCTTCTGATTTTAACTTTTTGACTGCCGTTTTCCCAATTTTGAAATCAACCGCGTGTAAACGTTCCAATAAGGTCTTCGTACTTAAACTTTCAGGGAGAAATTAGTGTTTTTTTCGGGCAGACTTGTGTATACCCAACGAATTCAACTGACCTGTTTCGCAAAATCCTAACTTATAATGATTTTAGTTTTCGAAATATTTGATTGGTCTATAACTAAAATCGATTGAGCTATATTGTCCAATAAAATAATTAGCTTTACTTTCATCCTAGTTATAGGTGTTATAGAAGATACTCTCCTATAGAAGCACTGGCCTAGGTTACAAGTATTAGGTGTTATAGAAGATACTCTCCTATTGAAGCACTGGCCTAGGTTACAAGTATTAGGTGTTATAGAAGATACTCTCCTATAGAAGCACTGGCCTAGGTTACAAGTATTAGGTGTTATAGAAGATACTCTCCTATAGAAGCACTGGCCTAGGTTACAAGTATTAGGTGTTATAGAAGATACTCTCCTATTGAAGCACTAGTCTAGGTCACAAGTATTAGGTGTTATAGAAGATACTCTCCTATAGAAACACTGGTCTAGGTCACAAGTATTAGGTGTTATAGAAGATACTCTCCTATAGAAACACTGGCCTAGGTCACAAGTATTAGGTGTTATAGAAGATACTCTCCTATTGAAGCATTAGTCTAGGTCACAAGTATTAGGTGTTATAGAAGATACTCTCCTATAGAAACACTGGTCTAGGTCACAAGTATTAGGTGTTATAGAAGATACTCTCCTATAGAAGCACTGGTCTAGGTCACAAGTATTAGGTGTTATAGAAGATACTCTCCTATAGAAGCACTGGCCTAGGTTACAAGTATTAGGTGTTATAGAAGATACTCTCCTATTGAAGCACTAGTCTAGGTCACAAGTATTAGGTGTTATAGAAGATACTCTCCTATAGAAGCACTGGCCTAGGTTACAAGTATTAGGTGTTATAGAAGATACTCTCCTATTGAAGCACTAGTCTAGGTCACAAGTATTAGGTGTTATAGAAGATACTCTCCTATAGAAGCACTGGCCTAGGTCACAAGTATTAGGTGTTATAGAAGATACTCTCCTATTGAAGCACTAGTCTAGGTCACAAGTATTAGGTGTTATAGAAGATACTCTCCTATAGGAGCACTGGCCTAGGTTACAAGTATTAGGTGTTATAGAAGATACTCTCCTATTGAAGCACTAGTCTAGGTCACAAGTATTAGGTGTTATAGAAGATACTCTCCTATTGAAGCACTAGTCTAGGTCACAAGTATTAGGTGTTATAGAAGATACTCTCCTATAGAAGCACTGGCCTAGGTTACAAGTATTAGGTGTTATAGAAGATACTCTCCTATTGAAGCACTAGTCTAGGTCACAAGTATTAGGTGTTATAGAAGATACTCTCCTATAGAAGCACTGGCCTAGGTTACAAGTATTAGGTGTTATAGAAGATACTCTCCTATTGAAGCACTGGTCTAGGTCACAAGTATTAGGTGTTATAGAAGATACTCTCCTATTGAAGCACTGGTCTAGGTCACAAGTATTAGGTGTTATAGAAGATACTCTCCTATTGAAGCACTAGTCTAGGTCACAAGTATTAGGTGTTATAGAAGATACTCTCCTATAGGAGCACTGGC